CACAAATTAGCTGGGCCTGGTAGCACGTGCCTGTAGTTCAGCTACTTGGAAGGCTTGAGGTGGAAGGATCGCCGGAGCCCAGCAGTTCACCGCTAAGGTGGTGGTGAGCTTGCCACTGCATTCAGTGGGCAACAGAATGAGACTACAACTCAAAAATAAAAATAAATAAATAGTGTTTTGTAGTTTTCACTGTACAAATCTTTTACCTCCTTGATTAGGTTTATTCCTAAGTATTTTATTCTTTTTGATGCTATTGTATGTGGAATTTTAAGCTTAATTCTCTTTTTGTATCATTCATTGTTAGTATGTAGAAAAGTAATTCTTGCATATTTATTTTGTATCCTACAATTTTGCTGAAGTTGGTTATTAGTTCTAATGTCTTTTTTGTGTGGAATATTTAGGGTTTCTACATAAAAGATCATGTCATCTGAAAACAGAGATTTTATGTCTTCCTTTCCAATTTGAATGTTTTTTATCTTTTTTCTTGCTTAGCTGCTGTGACTTCTACTTCCAATACTATATTGAACAGAAGTGTTAAGAGTAGATATCCTTTCCTTGTCCCTGATCTTAGAAGAAAAGCTTTCAGTCTTTCACCATTGGGTATGATGTTAGATGTCGTCTTGTTTTTGAGTCAGAGTCTCACTCTGTTGCCCAGGCTGGAGTGCAGTGGCACACTCACAGCCACCACAGCCTTGATCTGCTGAGCTCAGGTGATCCTTCCACTTCAGCCTTCCAAGTAGCTGAAACTACAAAGGCTCACCACCATACCTGACTAATTTTTTTATTTATTGTAAAGATGAGGTCTCACCAAGTTGCCCAGACTGGTCTTGAATCCATTGGCTCAGGCAATCCTCTGGTTTCTGCCTTCCAAAGTGCTGAGATTACGGGTGTGAGTCACCATGCCCGGCAGATGTCATCTTTTCATAGATGGCTTTTATTATGCTGAGGTGGTTTCCTTCTGTTCCTAGTTTGTTGAGTGTTTCGATCATTAAATGGTATCAATTCTTGTCAACCAATTATTCTGCATCGTTGAGATAATCATGTGGGTTTTGTCCTTCATTATATTAATAAGGTATGTTATATTGACTGATTTTTATGTGTTGAACCATCCTTGCACTTCACTAATAAATTCCGCTTGGTCATGGTGTATAATCCTTGTAATGTACTGTTGAATTTGGTTTGCTACTACCACACTAATCTTCTCTGCATTGTTCTACCCAGCAACAATTGGGTAGGGTGCAGTGAACACTCTAAGGGTTCTTTGGCCGCCACAGAAAAGCATTTCAGAGCAAGACCAAATATAGTCTTAAGACAAAGTTTATTGGGTGGGGGAATGCCCAACGGGCATGGGAGTTTTAAGAGAAAGAACTGCACGCTTGCCTTTGACAGGAAGCTTGATCTACTTTTACACTTACCTATGTCTAACCTACACTGAATAACCTGCCTCTGTTCCAATTTTAGCATATGCACTGCCAAAGGGAGCATTTTCATGGCTTTACTTTTAAAATGGGGTATAATGTAAAAACACAGAATTTCAGTTATCAAATGAGTAAATGAGCAAGAATTGTTTTCCGTGTTTGAAACGTTGACAAAATTAAGACACACGTGCTAGTTCTGCTCATTGTTTTCTTTAAGGAACTGAATGTCATTGCTTTTATAATATACTTAAATCTGAATGTCAGCAAACGACCACCTCTTTGGAAGGTGCTGTGAAACTGCCAAAGGAATTTAGTGTGTGTTCCAGCCAACACCTGAAGATAGGCCCTGTCTCCCAGCCTGCATGTGTGAAGAGGAGCCGAACTTCCACAGTACCACTTAATAAACCCAGGTGGGTTTCACATAGACCAACCTCACCTTACCATTTTTGGTAATTTTCACTTCCCTGACTGCTGAGCCCCAATCCCCTCATTCTCCCTTTAAAAGGCTGAGTTACCTCTGCACAAACCAAAGTTCAGTTCAGTTCGTGCTGGACTTCCCTCTTCCTATAGTATATCACTGACTAAAATCTGTCCTATCTGTCCTTACCACTTTAGTGTCTGGCGTGATCTTTGACAAGAGCATAGGGGTGGATTCATTTTTCTCGCTGAGCAGTCATCCTATTGCCAGGCACTCGGGACCGTGAGAAACATGATTCTTCGGAGAAAAGGCCCAGGGGGCCATACTGTTAGAAACTGACACCAGCTACACGGATTTTCTGCTCTGTGTCACGACTCATCGAACCTCCTGGGACTGGCCTGGAGCTGGGAAAGGTGAACAGGTATTCACAATGCCCAGGAATGATCTGTCAGCTTCCTGGAAGCCTTCCACTAGACAGGGCCCAAACTGGAGGCGAGACAGGAAGAGAAACTCGAAACAGCGCGCGAGTCGCAGACAGTGACTGAAGGAGGAAACAAAATGGAATCCCCCAATTCAGAAAAAACCAGAGCGGATTAGAGAGACAGCCCGCCGAGGTCACCTGAGGTTGCCCCGCCATGGCGCATGCGTCCTAAGTCTCGCGGCGCAATTCCCAGCCACACATCTGCGCTTGCGCAGCCGCGGGTGGCCGGAGTCTAGGAGTCACTGGCTGCTGGGGGCTAGAGAGGGACGCTGGGTGGCACCACGTCTGTTATATCTGCCGGCTCCCCAGTAGGCGGTGCTCCGACAAAAAAAAAAAAAAAAAAAAAGAACTCACAGCTAAGAGCACTGGTCTCCGATCTTTTTACGCATTCTTTGCGTTATCTCAAGACGCTTAGACGCCACCATCCGCAAAGCAGCCTGCATTTGTCTTTCTCTCGGGAATTTTAAGCTGGTTCGGAAGCGGTCCCTGTCCGGGGCTTCCTTTTTATCCAAGTCATGATGGAACCCACAGAAATGTTACTCCTCCTGTGACTTCATAGGACGCAGCATTGTCACGTTGAGTACTTGTTGATTTGAAAAAAAAAGGAAAAGTCAGGCCGGGCTCGGTGGCTCAGCCTGTAATCCCAGAGCTTTGGGAGGCCGAGGTGCGTGGATTGCCTGAGCCTGCGGGTTCGAGACCCGCCTGGGCAACTTGGAGAGACCTCATCTCTACAATAAATCAAAAAATCAGCCGGGCGTGGTAGCGCGTGCCTGTAATTCCGGCTACCCGAAAGGCTGAGGCGGAAGGATCGCCGGAGCCCAGCGGTTCGAGGCTGCAGTGACCGGGAGCGGCCACTGCATCCCAGCCTGGGCGACCGAGTGAGACTCCAACTCAAAAAAAAAAAGAAAAAGGAAAAGTCCACGCGCACGCACGCTTCCATAAGCACAGTATTCTTAATGTATGAAACAGCAGCTAATCACTGTTTACCCCCAGCGAGAAGAAGCTGGATGGCTGAAGGACAGGCGTGAGAAAGGCGCGTTATGTTTGTTTATATCGTTTGAAATTTTTCCAATGCGCATGTATTATTTTTTGAACGTTTGAATGGTCGTTTGGCGCCTTTATCAAAATGCAAATACCAAGGACATTCGGAAATATTAGAGGTCTGAGCAGAATTCTGTAATGTTGGATAGAATTATCTGTACGTGTGAAGCTGAAATGTCTTGTGTAAACTGCTAAGTCTTCCTGTTTATTTCTGGACAGGGGTCTTTGGGGGCTTGGTTGAGGGGTGGGGACAGGAAAATAGGAGCCGAGCATTTTTGGAAAATTACCAGCAGTGGTGGCATACAGGAAACTGAAATCTTTATCATCTCAATCATTGTTTATTCATTGTGGATTTGCTGAAGAAAATTAAGTAAATTTTACTGTGAGCTCACTGACTCAAAAAGATTGGAAGGGGATATTCGATGTTTTATTTTTATTTTTACTTTGAGTTGGAGTCTCACTCAGTCGCCCAGACTGAAGTGCAGTGGACGCTCCCGGCCAGCACAGCCTCGATCTGCTGGGCTCCGGCGATCCTTCCGCCTCAGCCTTCCAAGTAGCTGGAACTACAGGCGCGCGCTCCCACGCCTGGCTGATTTTTGATTTATTGTAGAGATGAGGTCTCGCCAAGTTGCCCAGGCGGATGTCGATGTTTATTTTTTGTGAAGGAAATCAACTGGGTGTGACTGGCAAGGTTGAAACCTGAAGTTCCTCTTCTAGATAATAAAAACTTCCCTTAGTGAAGAATCTCCAGACCGTTTATGGTATATTCCTGCCGCTAACCTTGCAAGATAACTTTAGGCTGCCTCTTTCAAGGTAAGTAAAGAGTGAGGAAAAAAAATTAAATAGGTAACTGTGCCTCCTAGGATTTGCAGACAAAACGCTCATGCTGACAGAAGATCTGGGACATCTCTCCTTTGCTAGGTCAAGTTGAATCAGTCAATTTCATTCCCTAGAGAATGGCTAGTGGATCTAGGCAAGGGTAGGAATTTAGGACAGAGGCTAGGGATCCAAAAAGTTGAAAGCGTAAAAACAAAGGCCAGAGGTTATAATTTATTGCCTCTGAGTTTGCCTTGTTTGTAAATAGCAGGAGGTGAGCTCCCAAATAAAATATTTTAGGAATTGTGGTTTTTTTTTTTTTAAGTAAAAAAAATTTTATTGTAACTCGTATATATTTTTTGAGTCCGAGTCTCACTCTAGGAATTGTTGTTCTTGAGTATCTCCAAAAGTCAGTACTTTTACAAAGAAATAAATGAAACAGTGAGTATTGCAGCAATCGGAATGAGCAGTGCTTGGGGATAGAAATGCCCCTGCAGAGGAAAAAAAACGCATCACAGAACAACATACTTAGTAAAATTTATTTTAAAAAAAACAAACAATAATTTATGCCTTTGGCAAAATAAAGGATCTTTTCAATATAAATGTTTCTTAGAAAATGTATGAAAAGATAATATAACATATAATAAATCAATATTAACATTACAGTGAAAGTAATAATGATTGTATAACAATGACAAGTGAAGATATTTCTGGTTCTTTACACAGCAGTATTTCTGGAAGGTTCTGATTCCTTTTTTCTATAATAGAGATGTGCCCTCGCCTTAAAAGAACCTGATGCACTCAAATCTAAATTTAGGAAGTCAAACAATTAAAGGATATTTATTAGCATCACAAAATAATTCTTTACAAAAGAAATCAATGGAAAGGTTTCTGTCAGGGATCCTTAAAACAGCAACTTTTCCTGATATGTTTAGAACGTAATTAACCAAGGGCACATGTCCCCAACTTCTTTCTGTTTATGATTCTATTGCATAAAGGGAGGTATACCCTGAAGAGAGGCGGTGACTTGGGCTTCAGGCCTGACTGGAGAATGTATGTTCTTAGAGTACGAGGAAATGGCCGGGGCTGGTGGAGGGCACAAGTTCTTTCACTCTTTTGTTCCTCTTATCCTGAGCTCTTATTTTGTTGTCTCAACTGCTTTCTGATAAACTCTGTTCACCTGGTTCTTTCAGGAGCAAAGGAGGGAGTCATGGTAGGGGGGCAGATTAATGAATTAGTGAGGCACTCCAGCAGAGCAGAGGGAGAGGAGAGTCTGGGATTGTGTATGTGGTTGTAGCTGGGGGAAGCAAGAGCAATCCTGAACCCTTGACATGATGCTTTTAATTAAGGCCCCCTCACCCAGTAGGGCCACCTGACTCTCTAAAGAGCAGCAAGGCCCTGTCTAGCCCTTCCCTGGTGGGACCCATCCTCAGGAGAACAGATGCAGAACTATTTATCACACTCCTCCTGGCTCCCTTCAGCACAGTGGTAGTGCTGCTCACAGAACTCCTGGATCCGGCTGCAAGCTTCCAACATCATCACCTCAGGGACTGTGATGACCACTCGGAAGAAATTTGGGTACTCAAAACACTGCAAAAATAAAAGTCTGTTATTTTTGGAGCAATTGAATATGGTACTGGACCACTTTCAAATGGCCAGAACCCTAATCAGCAAGATGCAGTGATGACATTTCATCAGGGCTATTGGTTCATTCAGTCACCATCACCAGGATGCTAAGTCAGTAACTGTGTTAATTAACCTAAAAAGGGGCATGTGAAACAAGCTTGATTTCCTCTCACCTAGAATGTTTGCTTACAACTTTTTTTTCCTGGTGTGGATGGGATTATGATGGGGAGAAACAAATTTTAAATAGAAGCCCTGAGACCTATCCGTTTGAATTTTATCAGATGAGAATACATTTTGTTGGAGGAAAAAGGTCTGGCTAAAACCCAGCTCAGGCTTGCTCTTGGAGCTCTAGAAACTTGAAAACATCCTTAGAGAGACACAAGCACTCACCGTTGCTGGGAGGCAGTGGACAGATTGCTCAGCAACTAACCGCTCAGTGAACTCCACATCGTTTGCAAATTCTGGGAAATGTTCCATCTCAATTCCAACCTACACCAATAATAAGAGGGAGAGGCAAACTTATCAGAAGGAGGAAAAATGGGCCAATTTCCCATTCCAGAAATTAAGGTAGGGACTACTTTAAAAGATATCTTGGAACTCTACAGTAGATACTGATAACTAAGAGTACTAGCACTTATGCACACACAGAATTTTTCTTAAGGAAGAGAGGATATTTTTATATTAACAGTATATTGGGCCAGACTCAGTGGCTCAGCCTGTAATCCCAGCACTTTGGGAGCACGAGACAAGTGGATTGCCTGAGTCCGCAGGTTTTAACTTGGTGAGACCTAACTCTATAATAAGTCAAAAATTAGCCGGCCATGGTAGCACGCGCCTGTGTTTCCAGCTACTTGGAAGGCTGAGGCTGAACGATCACCAGAGCCTAGCAGGTTGAGGCTGCAATGGCCGGGAGCGGCCACTGCACTCCAATCTGGGCTACAGAGTGAGACTCCAACTCAAAACAAAATAAAACAAAACAAAACAAAAAACAGTGTATTGAAGAGTTCCTTTCTGGATGCTGATAAATGACAGCCGGAAATAGAATGTCAGTGTTTCTCAAAAGAGGCACTATTAGCATTAGGGCCAAGCAATTCTTCATTGCATGGGATAAACCCGCCCATTACATGATATTTAGCGTCCCTGGCTCACAAAATGGCAACTGCACTTCCCAGTCATTCTGAAAACGAACAAAATTTCCATACACTTCCAAATCATCTTAGGGAACTAATACCACTCCCAGTTAAGAGCTAAATGGTATGAAAAACCTCTTATTTGTGTCTTAAATCTTCCCTGTATCTACATATAAAATGATTCTTTGTACTGAAGAATAACATCATTTGAAGAGTTCTATGAGCACGAAGGTCAAATTACATCAGCAGACAATTCAGAATAAGATAATTCCTAAACTGACTATCTCAGGAGTCTGACTGGTTGTCTTTGAGAATGGTGATATGCCCTGAACAACCACCTGTGGCAGTCCTGCTTACCGGCTTCCCTTTGCTTTACAACATGTATAGACTTACTGCCTGCCACCCACATACTTACCATGAGGTACATGGCTCCAGAAGGGCGGACTGGCCTGAGTCCAGGTATGGCGGCCAATGCCCCATAGCAGAGATCAGAATTAGACTACAAGAGAAGGCAGAGAGAAATCAAAGATCAAAATTTAAGTAAAAGAGAAACCAAGTTATTAAATAAAAATAGAGCCTTCATTGAAGGCTGGGAAGCTGGCATAAGGAGTCAACAAGAAAAATCTTCTGGCATAAGGAGTCAACAAGAAAAAAATCCATCACTGGAAGTTTTTGGCCACGAACAGAGTGAATTGCCAGAAGAGAGAGAGATATATGGGTGGATACGTACGCTGATGCCACCTCCTGATATGGAAGCCCCATATTGAAACATTGCTCCAGAAATGAGAATCAATTATTTCTAATTCCACTGGTGGCATTCTGACTCCCAAACTCCCAAAGTGGAAGACCATGGGCTGTCCTTACCTTGAGAAAGCTTAGAGTGTTGTGGTAGAACTCTTGAGGGGTGCGATGCAGGATGTTTTTCAGAGCTCCCTGGACAATAGTGCAGGGTCCCAAGATCCTCTGACTCAGTTTCACCAGCCCATCTCGGATCTAAAAGTACCCCCCAAGGAAACACATTATGTGTAGCTTTTGTTAAGCAACCCTGTTTTGAAGATTCTTGTTCTGGTCTTTCTATCTGACTTTTTTTTTTTTTTAAAGACAGGCTCTTGTTCTATCTCCCAGGCTGGAATACAGTGACATAATCACAGCTCACTACAGCCTCAAAATCTTGGGCTCAAGGGATATGGGAACATCCCTTGAAACAGGTGTGTGTGACTAAACCCAGTTCTTTTTTTTTGGAGAAGTGAGTTCTCTCTATGTTGCCCAGGCTGGTATCTGGCCTTCAGCAATCCTCCAGTTTTGGCCTCCCAAAGCACTGGGATTATAGGCATGAGCTATTACACCCAGTCCTGTGTCAGATTTTTAATCTTGGGAAAGGTTAGTGCCTAGTGGCTTCCTTTTTTTTTTTCTTTTTTTTTTTTTTTTTTGCCCATACTGGAGTGCAGTGGCCACTCCCGGTCACAGCAACCTCGACCTGCTGGGCTCCGGCGATCCTTCCATCTCCCTAGTGGCATTCTTAGAGCAGATAACCTGGGTTTGTAGCCCAGTTCTGCCATACCCTGCTGTGTAACTGTCAAGAAAAAAGAGAGGAAAAAAGCTTACCTCATTACCACTGAGCCTATAAAGTAAATATTTACTCTAAATTATACATAGTATTTCACCACATTGTTCTCACCTCGTTACCAAAAATGTCTCTTCGGTCATGGATGAGGATCCAGCCCATCCTCCAACCAGGAACTAGCCAGCGCTTAGCCAGCCCTCCACAGGACAGGATGGGGACGTTGGTGCTGAGGGTGGCCAGTGGTTCATATTTGCAATCCGAAAACACCTGAGGAGAAGAGGTGTTTGTTATAGTTATCTTCTTGCTTACTTCTACCTGGAATCCCAGGCCCCGTGCCTCCCACCCTTTTCCTTATATCACTAGGGACAGGGTCTCAGATTAATGGGCTCATCCCTACCCAAAGCATGATGTGGGATTCCAAGAGGCTTCAAAGAAGACTATCCAACGACATTAAATGAGGTAACTGGTCTGAATTAAAGAAAGCCTAAAATAAAGAGACTGACTCTCGCCCAATATTGTGTACAACTCTATAAACCCGGCTCTGTGGAATTAGTGCATTACATACTGGAGTTACATATTTTTAAAACTAAAATATGGGTCCACAATCCCCTATCTGAAATTCCTGGGCCCAGATATGTTGCAGAATGCAGAATGGTTTGGGCTTTAGAAAGGTGCATTTACCATACATTATATAACACTCCCACAGCAGTCTAGGATACTACCCCAATCAAGAATTTGAACACTTCTGCTACTTTCCCTACATTCTTAACAAATATGTAGATCCATAAGTGGAATAAATACAAATCTACTCATATATTTGTGTCAGGTCAAATCAGAGTCTACAGTCAAATAACTTCCAAGAGCCTCTGATTTTTCAAAGTTTCAGAAAACTGGCTAAGGAGTTGTAGTGTCTACATATTTGTTAAGAGTGTAGGGATACTGATTTGCTGTACTAAAATGATTAGGAATTGCTTCTGATTATTCTAGTTGCCACCCCTAAAGTTCCCATAAAGTAAATTTGGTATTGAGATTATTATAGTGATAGATCCTGATCAAAACTTACCATGTCTCCATAGATTTCATCAGCTAAGATGGGGACACACTGCCTTGCAGCCACTGGAAAGAAGGAAAACATGCTGAAGTCTTTTTTTTTTTTTGAGTTGGAGTCTCACTTTGTCACCCAGACCGGAGTGCAATGGCCACTCCCGGCCACCGCAGCCTTGACCCACTGGGCTCCAGTGATCCTTCCGCCTCAGCCTTCCGAGTAGCTGGAACTACAGGCGCGCGCTACCACGCCCGGCTGATTTTTTGATTTATTGTAGAGATGAGGTCTCCCTGCCCAGGCGGTTCTCGAACCTGCGGGCTCAGGCAATCCACTCACCTCAGCCTCCCAAAGCCGTGGGATTATAGGCTGAGACACCGAGCCCGGCTTCTGAAGTCATTTTTAATGAGAATTGCCTTATTACCAAATATTCACCAGGTCTTATTGTGCTTTGCATTTCATGTTTGTGTGTTTTGTCTGCCTTTTTAAGAACTGTATATTCTTCTAATACTCTTCTACATTTGCCATTTAATTAAGTAGATATTTCAAACCCATCTTCCACAGAAGTGGAAAAGAGGCAAGTCATTCTCTTTTTTCTCCTCCTTTTAGGCAAGTCCTACCACTCCTGGGGCACACTGTTGACTAAAGATACCAGTGGAGCTTCCCTACCTCCCTCCCAGGCTTGGATCTTAGGGAAAGACTCTTTTTTTGTCATTCCAGGAAGAGGTTAAGGATTCTGTCCCCATCTCTCCTCTTAAAATGAAGTCAGCTGGACTTACCTGCCAGAATTTTCTGAAGATGACTTTTACTGAACACTGACCCACAGGGGTTGGATGGATTATTGACAATGAGGCAAGCTGTCTTTTCATCAATCAGAGATTCCAGTTGTTTCAGGTCAACTTCCCAAGACTTCTCTGGCTGGAGAGGAAGAATGAGATGATGATGATGATTCTGGGCCAGATGCAGTAGCACACTCCTGTAATTCCAGCACTTTGGGAGGCTGAGGCAGGAGGATTGCTTGAGGCCAGGAGTTCAAGATCAGCCTGGCAACATAGCGAGACCACGCGAGACCATAGCGAGACAAAAACGCAGAAAAATTAGCCACACACAATAGTGCACGCCTGTAATTCCAGCTACTTGGGAGGCTGAAGTGGAAGGATTGCCTGAGCCCCAGAAGTCGAGGCTATGGTGAGTCGTGACTGTGCCACTGCACTCCAGCCTGGGAGGCAGAGTGAGAACCCAACTCAAAAAAAAAAAAAAAAACGATGATTCTGAAAAATTTAGGGGAAATATCCACTTAACTCAAGGATGCATTGTAAATAATTTTTTAAAATGTATCTTTGGCCTCAACCACCCACTTTCAGACCTTCCTTTGCTGAGGTAAAGGTCACATTTTTATGGGGCAGTAACTAAGCACTTGAGTCTAAAATTAAGGAGTCATTTACCAACAAATTGTAGAGTTTGACTTCAATTCCCATAGATTCAGCCAAAGTCCTATAGAGAGAGAAACCGGGTCTCGGAACCAGGATATTTTGCCCTGGGTTGGCCAACACAGCTAAACAAAGTTCAATAGCCTGACTGCAGCCACTTGTCAGAATGACATCCTGTGAAGAAAATAAAATGTTAAATTATTTAGAGGTTTCAAGAGTAACAGGAGAAGAGAACTTGTCAGAGGGGTGAGCTGGGAGCAATAATGAACTTCCTTTACCAAGTTCTAAGTAAAGTAGTAGGGACTGTACTAAGCCAAAACCAAAAGAAATTTATATGTTTATACATGTCCATATCTAACTGTTGTTGAAATGTTGGGCACTTAAAAGGAATAAACAAATCCCTTTAAAAAGGACAGGTTGGCTGCGATTCATCAGAATTCCATGAAACAGCAATGTTGGCCTTGGACTTTTTTCACCCGGTTATTTATTTACTTTTAGCCAGAGATTTGAAACCTGGCTGTTCTCTGGAATACAGATAAAGGACCGCTCTTAAGTTAGAAAATGTTGACCCCACACAGTAGACTTCAGAGGGAAGGATGACACTTAAATTTGGTACTGGACAGGCACAGTGACTCACACTTATAATCCCAGCACTTTGGGAGGCTGAGGTGAGAGAATTGCCTGAGTCCAGGGTTCAAGACCAGCCTGAGCAACTTGGCGAAACCTCGTCTCTACAGTAGATAAATACATGATTAGCCAGGCGTGGTGACACGCACCTATAGTTCCAGCTACTTGTAAGGCTGATGTGGAAGGATCACCTGAGCCCAGCAGGTCAAGGCCAGCAGGTCAAGTGGCCCTGAGCATGCCACTGTACTCCAGCCTGGATGACAGAGTGAGATTCTGACTCAAAAAAAGAAAAAAGCTTGGTACTGACATCCATTCAGTATGCCACAGTACCGCTATCCTTCTCTCTGAGTGGCCTTATGGTAAATGAGAGAAGTTCAAAAAAAAAAATAGATCCTGTTGGTAAAATTTTTAAAAATAATTTTTTGATGTTTATAAACTGTTCTCAAATGATCTGTAGACAATCAAATTTAGGTAATCTCTGGGTCCTTTGAACCTTCTTAAGATAGACACCACATGAGTTGTATGTGATGTCGTTATCACACTGTAATGACATTAATTATAATCACTGAGTAGTGATCCCAACTATATGAGAAGTCTTTGAATTGCTAAAGGAAATTATCCTCAGATTTTCTCCCCTGAAGTCTTTACTCCTTATGGAACAGATACAAGGAAAAGGAGGTATAGTTTGCCCTAAACTGCTTTAGACTGGTACCTTGAATAAGGCTTACCTTGGCTTCCAGGGGTGCTTCGGGAGAGTGGTAATAAGAAGCAATCTCCTCTCGACTGGATAGGTACCCTGAAAGAAAAGAGTGAACGTGGAAGGTGCAGTTCTCATCCCTCAACTGACAGCTATGCTCTGGAGGGTCAATATGGAGTCGGGCTGCCTTCTGCCTTGCTCAGAGGGCATTCCATTTAGTATGGCTCTCAGCCACTGAAGGTAAAGGAGATTTACTTCATATTTTATAATTTTAGTATAAGTAAAAATGCATAAACAACAAGAAAGAACTCCCAAACTGTAAAATACTCTGCACCGTCTTGACGACAGTGATTACGTCTTATTCTGTGTAAAATAAAAAGTTGAGACAATTCCTAAATCTCTTTTGGGAACAATAGTTTTTGAAAAGTTATAATCAATGCATTAACACAGGTGATCCATTTTAAGTTTTTTATTATATAATTTTCCTATAAGTATTTTTGTACAAATATTTTCTTTTAAATTATTTTTTGTACAGTATTTCCAAATATTGGCTTATAATCTTGAAGTATTGGCAGTTTTATGCTCATTAAAATATTTTGCAAATTTATGTCCAAAAAGACAAGTTAGCAAGACCAGAGGTATTCTTTCATAATGTTTATTAATTTAGTAAGCACAAGTATGTCTCTCAAAATTACACAAGTCAGTCCTTCAAATCAGCACTCCCTTGATTACTAATGAGGCAGAACAGTTTTCTAGACATGCATTATCATCTATATCTCCTTTGGGATGAAATGTTTGGAATTTTGTTTTTCTCAGGTTACATTGGTCCAGTGAAATTTTGTTTTTCTCAGGTTACATTGGTTTTCTAATACTTTGGATATTAAATATTTCTTTATTAAAAATAAATTTATTAAAAATAATAAATTTATTTATTTATTAAAAATAAACTTATTTTTTATAACCTAATGTTCAGTCTTCATTTTGTTTTGGTTTTTATTGAATGAAGCTTTATAAAATGCAAGTAATCAACCTAAAAACCATATCCTTGAAGTGTTTTTAAAACTTGATTTTAGCATGAAGTTGGGTTTTTATTCTGCATTAAGAATATGTTTCTATGTACACATATACACAAGGGAAAAAATGTTCAATACTGAAAGTCAAGGAATCACTTATTTTACCAAAATCTTTAGGGTGGAAATTGTAAATAGATGGAGAAAATTAAACCTAAAGAGAAATAACTTATTTCTATCAGAAACAACCTCCTATCCTTCGATATGACAGTCCATTCTTTGTTGTTCTATTGTTGTTGTTGTTGTTAATGTTGATATTTTTGATCTCTTTACTCTTTTGTGTGTGTGTGTGTGTGTGTGTGTGTGTGTGTGTGTGTGTGTGTGTGAGTTTCACTCTGTCGCCCAGACTGGAGTGCAGTGCCCGCTCCCGACCACTGCAGCCTCAACCTGCTGGGCTCTGGCGATCCTTCCGCCTCAGCCTTCCGATCTCTTTACTCTTAACCAGTTGCAACTGCCTTTCAATATGATCAGGACCATAATGTGAGGTCTTCAGTGTACAGAGGTCTTCAGTGTACAGAGAAGGAGAACTAAAGCAACGTAGCTATTTACATAGAGCAATAAGAATATCAATTTAGGACCTAGAGGACTTGGTAAACAAGCAGCTCCAGTCAGACTCGAGATGTTCATATTATAATTGGTAATGATACAGTAGGAGCATTATTTGAGAAATAAGCTTGGGAGCCTAGAGGGGAATTGTCAGTATGCCAAGGGAAGCCAGAAAAGAAATTAGATCTTGGTGCTTTATGTTTAAGTATCCTGAGGCCCCTTCCCCCAAATCCAAAGGGCCATTCACTCTTAGCCTCTCCTTAGGAATCATGCATCAGGAAAGAGGGGAAAATTGCTAGATATTTAGTCCTATTATAAGAGCACTAGGCTGGCCTCAGTGGCTCAACCTGTAATCCCAGCACTTTAGTAGGCGGAGGCAAGTGGATTGCCTGAGCCTGCGGGTTTGAGACCCGCCCAGGCAACTTGGCAAGACCTCGTCTCTACAATAAATCAAAAATTAGTCGGGCGTGGTAGCACACGCCTGTAGTTCCAGCTACTCGGAAGGCTTGAGGCGGAAGGATCACCGGATCCCAGCAGGTCGAGGCTCCGGTGGCCGGGAGCAGCCACTGCACTCCAGTCTGGGCGACAGAGTGAGACTCCAACTCAAAAAAATAAAAAAAAAAAAAATAGAAGCACTAAAGGTTTGGAAGTCACCAGGCTTAGAGTCTTAGGAGAATCTTACCAATGGATGGGGCATAGCCGTTATATTTCCCTGAGTCCAAGGCATCTTTCATTGCTTGGGTAACTTCAGGATCTGTCGGCAGGTTTCCAAACACAGTAGGGTCCCCTGTTTGTAGGAGAAAAAAAAAGCAAAAGGAGCCACCAAGAGATTACTCTCCCATGTCTAGTCCTTAGGCTCACTTTCTACATTTATATTCTCCACCCATATGACAATCTCTCAGTTCTTTCCCCAACTCACCAATTGACAGAGAAATAATGGTTTTGTTTGGATTTGGCTTCACCTTCATGCTGTCCACGATGGCCCGAATGGGATTGAAAGTTTTGTTGGACATGTCTGAGGGCTTCACGGACCATCTGGCCTTCCTGCCTTTCATTTTTCCCAGCATGGCGCTTCTCCCGCCGATGCTGACATGCACATCCAGAACTGAGGGGAGGGCGCTATTGCCATTCGTCTGAATCACGTATGAGTCCATCACGGGCAAAGACTACAGGAAAAAGAAATAGGTTCCTGTAATGTTTAGGTAGCTTTACTGTGCGTGAGGGGAGTTTAAAGACTTTTTGCTGTGATGGAAAATAAAACAAAAATCTATTCTACAATGTTAGAGAATGTTCAGTTAAATATCTATGATAAATGAGATTTTCTATGTGCTACTATAATCCCTGTCAAAGCTTAGCCATGTTCTAAATAAAACCAAGGAGAAATGATATGAAAATTGTTAAATGATGAAAGCATAAGTGCTCCCTTCTTTCCACTTATCTGACAAAGAGTCTCCCTGATGCTTCAACATTCTGTATCTTGCCCATTGCAGAGACCCAGGAACCACCTTATTAGAAATTTCCAGCTAATATTATTGTTAGTAAAAGTAAAGCTCTGTCCTATAAGCATCTTATGATGCTAGTTGGAAAAAGAAGTCAAGACATCAAAAAGAAAAAGGTGAGCATCCCAATTACCACCACCGGATCAGCTGAGCCTTGAGATTTTTACCTTCCACGTAAAGGAGAAGCAGCCTCCAAGAAACCAAACCTGAAAGCTCACTTAGCTCTTCTTTGACAGGTTACCGTGACTATGAACTCAGATACAAATCCTGACTCCTGAAATAGTCTCCACAAATGGGCGTTGGACCTGAAACTCTTAGGCCATTGGTTGGGACTGAGAGTTCAGCAGGAAGCCCTCCCCTTAGCCTCTTTCCTCTCCTTCCTACTCCTCAGAGCTTCTCAATCCTAAACCAACCCCCCACCCTCAAATCAGGAATTTGTCCTCCTTCCAACATCTGGAAATTCTGTGTTAACTCTTTCAGGACAGTTGGTGGATGTTTGAGAAGACTGTAGTTCTGATTACAGTTGGTCGGTTTTTATTAAATCTTTTTTTGTTACAAAACAACCCATTAAAATTTTAACGGTACAGAAATATACGAAGTAAAAAGCACAAGTCCATCCTTGCACCCTGCTACCTATACATGCCGATCTCATTCCCAGGCATAGGCAGTGGTAATGATTTGACTCTTTCTACCCATTTAGATAAATAGATACATACATAGATATGGAGACAGAGATAGAGATACATAGATCCATATTTTATAATTGTCAAAACACAGACACGTGCTCTACATCATGTTTGGCAATTTTGTTGTTGTTATTGTTTTGTTTTATTTCCTACATCTCAGACTCCTTTCCTTGACAGTCCATAGAGTTTTACTCCAGTAAGAACAAATTGGGACATTAAAGTCAATTAAGATCCATTCAACAAATATCTTAAAAGTATAGTCTCTAAGGCAGCTGAAACCCATGCAGTTTTAGTCTTTTTTTTTTTTTGAGTTCGAGTCTCACTCTGTCGCCCAGGCTGGAGTGCAGTGGCTCGCTCACGGCCACTGTAGCCTCGACCTGCTGGGTTCAGGCGATCCTTCCACCTCAACCTTCCAAGTAGCTGGAACTACAGGTACATGCCACCATGCCCAGCTAATTTTTTTATTTATTGTAGAGATGAGGTCTCACCAAGTTGCCCAGGCTAGGCTCAAACCCATGGGCTCAGGCAATCCTCTCACCTCGGTCTCCCAAATTGTTGGGATTATAGGTGTAAGCCACCATGCCTGGCCCAGTTTTATTCTTATACTGTGTATGAATTCTTCCTTTATCTCCTATAGGGTTATTGAAAGAATATAGCATAAGTGTTATCTACACACTACCTGTCAGAAAAATATATCCTGCTTCAAGGATGACACAGGGAATCAACTGAGTGTTACTGTCTCTAGATGGACAGAGGGTCAGAGGTGTTAAAAAAATATATTCAATGATACTTGTTAAAGCATGGTGAGGTAGACTTTATTCAGGACCACTGCAATGGGGTTTTGCAGTGGGAGAGAGAAATGGGGTTTAATTCCAAATACAGCATGGGCAAGTGGGGATTTATAGCCAAGGAGCAGGGTATACTACAAGGAAACATCAGGGGTAAGGGAGATTCTGCAAAACTGAACTAAAAGGACTCATGCTGAAGACAGATCAGGGTGATCAGACATCACCTCAAGAGACGGCAGAGAATGAGAAACACAATCAGAAATCAAGGGTAGGGAGTCGAGTCTTGCTAAAATGACTTAGCAGGGTTCTTTGCTAAAACTAGATTTTGCCAGAAAGTGCATTGATAGGCCTAGGAGAAGGTCCAGGAGCCTGACTAAAGTTTAGTCAATCAGAGAATCTTTGTCAGAGGTTAAGACCATACTTCTTGATATTGGCCTTTTTTTTTTTTTTGAGTTGGAGTCTCACTCTGTTGCCCAGACTGGAATGCAGTGGCCGCTCCCAGCCATCGCAACCTCGACCTGCTGGGCTCTGGCAATCCTTCCGCCTCAGCCTTCCAACTAGCTGGAACTACAGGCGCATGCTACCACACCCGGCTAATTTTTTATTTATTGTAGAGATAAGATCTCGCCAAGTTGCCCAGGCGGGTCTCGAAACCGCGGGCTCAGGCAATCCACTCACCTCAGCCTCCCAAAGGCGAGGGGCTACAGGCTGAGCCACCGAGCCCGGCTGATATTGGCCTTTTAATAAGTTAGATCAAGCAAGGATGGGATTTCTGAAACTTAAAAGGCTATTGTGACTGATTTCTGTCACTCAAGGTTTAGATTTTCAAGGTGACTTGAGTCTAACTTCCCCTTTCATACACACACACAGCCTGCAAGACTGATGTCCTGTCTCCATCTAGACATTAAAGCAGGAGCCTTAGGTTATTCAACTGTTAGTACCCTCTAAGGCAGCAGTAGCATCAGTCTACCTCTGCATCTGGTTTTCAATTCTCCCTCATTGTTTGGCCCCCTGGAATATTTATTTTTTTATCTTTAGAGTTCAGGCATTTTGTTATTTTATCCAATATTTCTAGGTATTTGTGATTGAAGGTTTTCTATGTTATCCTGACCTCAGTATTGCCAGAAATAGGTCCCTTTTCTTACTAATTTGAAATGTCACTCTTACCTTGTATTAAATTTCTCTTTCTCCCTGAATCTGTTTATGGCATACTCCGTTCTAGAATATTTTATTTGAGAATGAACATTTTTACAGTTCTTTATACACACTGCCAGGTTGCTTTAGAAAAGGCCAGTTACCTTTCTATCAGTAATTGTTTGTAAATCCTGAGAATTATGTTCTAAAAAAAAATTTTTTTTGCCAAATTAAGTGATTGGGGGACAATTGTATTAAAGTGGTGCTGCTATTTCTGTCCCTTCCATTTTAGTGAGGGTGGCCATTTTTCATGCTTATTAATTATTTGCATGTTGGAAGTTGTCCACATGCCTCACCTGTCTCTCTTCAGGGAAACTCATCTTTTTCTTAGATGGGATTTTAGCCTAGGAAGCTACCGCAGGGCTACAAAACCACTGCTTTGAGATCACTGGCCTCCACTTGACTGGCTCCTCTGTCTCAACTCTGGCTGAAACTCAGGTTTACAGATCAAAGGACAACAAGCACCACAGGATTTTGGCAGGTGGTCCTGCAAATAGTGCGGTTGACGCAGAATCTGCAGGGCCGAGAGGGTATGTGAAGGGGCAAGGGCTGCTATATCAGAAGGTCATCACCACGAACACATCCTCATTTCTGTTTTGGCAGCTGACAACTGAAACTCAGTCAGAAGGAAAAACAGACAAAGCAAACAAGTTTTGGTAATACCCCCTCTTCTGTAACTAATGTTTTCCCTCTGTAGAAAGTGAATAGCAGGGAAATGAGAGGATCTAACTCTACTTAGGAAGCCTTACCAATGCGAGGTAAATTTTACTGGGCAGTCAGGGCCCAATAAACCGTAGATACATTCACAAAAGGCTACACCAACCAGCCAGAGTTAAGACTTTTCATTTAAAAACCAAACAACTTTCACTTACTTTTCCCTTAAGTGTCAAACTATTACTTGCCATTTTAAAAAGTATTTTTTAATGTTTTAAAATTGTGGTAAAAATATGTAGCATTAAATTTACCATCTTAACCTATTAAAAATAATGTACAGTTAAGTTGTATTAAGTATATTCACATTGTTTTATAACAAATCTCCAGAACTTTTGCAAAACTAAAACTTTATATCCATTAAACACTAATGTCCCCTTCTGCCTCCCCCTAGTCCTTGGCAACCACCTTTCTACTTTCTGATAGAACAGTATTTTTAAAATAATTCCACCACCTGGAGATAACCACTGAGACTGTTTCATCTCCACTTTACAAATGAAAACTAAGTCACATGGGTAGGCAGGGGTGAGTTGGAGCTCAAGCCTTGCAATCTGGCTCTAGATCTCACTACACAAGGCCGCTCTCTATTTAGAGAATAAAGTGAGTTGAGAAATACAGTCCCTTCTTCCCTAAGGAATATAAAGAGAGAAAACATGAAGAAAAAAAAGTCAGCTGGGGAAAATCTTAACAAAATAATGAATTAATTGTTTGAATTAAGCATGGACCATTCACCTGTCTTTTATTGCACATTTTCTTATTAGTAATTTTGTCTCTTTCCATCCTGAATTGTCATCAATTATCACTCATCTATTGGGTATAGAAAAATGTTATGTTTTAACTTCCATAGAAGACTGTAAACTCCCTGAGAAAGTACACAGTGGGAAACCTTCCTAGTCCTCTCAACATCCTCCTCTGTGTTTAGCATGAAAGTCATGCTCAATACTTGGCCAGTTGGCAATGAGCAGTGTATAAACTAGAGGAGGAAATGGTAGAAGTGGCAATTGGAGGGAAACCAAAGACCTTGCATATTATAGTATTTATAGATTGTGGAGTAAGGAATTTAGGAAGGATTAGGAGGGTAGGCTGGACTTTGGTCATTTATAAAGCCTTACATTTATAGAGTTTTGTGGCTTAATCCCACATTTATTATCTCAGTTATCTCTGTGTGTGTGTGTGTGTGTGTGTGTGTCTCTCTCTCTGTCGCTGTCTCTGTCTCTGTATCTCTCTCACACACAGACACATATACACATATACACATCTTATAAGCTAGAGAAGGAAAATGTTGTCAGAACAGAGAGCTGAGTTTTCTTTTTTTAACTAAACTTTTTGTTTTTTAATAGTTTTAGATTTACAGTACAGAGTTCTCACATACTCCTCTTCCAGTTTACCCCTTTTTAAAACATATTATATTACCATAGTCCATTCTTAGTCACAACTAAGAAACAATCATTGGCCAGTTAATATTTACTAAACTATACTTTATTCAGATTTCACTAGTTTTTCCATTAACATCCTTTTCCTGTTCCAGGATGCTATCCAAGATATCATGTTACATTTAGTGATCATGTATCCCTAGTCTTCTGTGGTCTGTGACAGTTTCTTAGACTTTCCTTGTTTTCATGACCTGGGCAGTTTTGATGTAGACTATTCCTTAATTTGGGTTTGTCTGATATTTTGCATGGTTAGAAGGGGTTGTGGGTTTCAGAAAGACCAGATGAGCTTTTAAAGTTTTGTCAATTCACTTCACACCAGAGTGCTAAAGGTTAAAAAAGGGATAGAATCTTCATCTGTTTGCTGATTGAGCTACTTGCTGGCCACCTCTCTCATGGAGCTTAGCAAATAACACCATCCTGTTTGTTTTGTGCTTTGCATAA